GTGCAATATCTGCAGAGTAGAACTTGCCTTCCACAGCAATTATTTTTAGTTAGCATTTAGCTAAAATCTAACCATGCAGCTACAATAGCAGCTGCATTCTGGCACGATAAGCTGTATGTTTTATATTCAATTAACGTATGATCCGATTAGTCGACTAACCGAATAAATATTCGGTGATTARTCGATTATAAAAATAATCGTTTGTGGCAGCCCTACYGAAGACCTGCCTGGAGAAACAAAGAGCTGAGCGGGCAGGAAGGGGTTACTGGTCACCCAGAACTTTTTCAGCTGCCTCCCACTGGAAGGTGACAGSTCCACGCTCTGTTGACCTCAATAATTGTGCTGCTGTGGCATTTCCAGAGAATCCTTTAGGGACTTGGGGAAGGACATAAACAGTCAAAGCTTTATTGTATTGGGAGCTGTTGTGAAGTAAAGGGAACGGCCGGTGTGATTCAGGATGTGTGAGCGGAAGCTTATCTGGAGGTTTCCCCCTTCAAAACAATCATACTGGGGCCTTATATGGAAGACCTGGACGATGGGGTGATGTTTAGACTTCAGTTGACCCCCGTGTCTTTTTCAACTTTTGACCATTCTTGGACGTGTCGCCTCCTGAGACTTTGCTCACACCACCTCCGCAGTACTGGTCTCTGTGTAACCACTCTGAACTGACTCRTTTATACTTTGTGACCAACATCTAAATATTTGTGTTTTCCTGTTCCACTTTAAATGTTAGTCACTGCTCTCACAGGCTAAACTATTGATGTATTTGTCTGCTAGACTATTTCACATTTCTGCCTTTCCTCTTCGATATACACCTCTTACAGGATTAAAATTCAGTAGATTGTTTTTTTTTACAGCAGTGAGCACCTTCAGTGTGTAAGGTTTTAAAAACTGAGGACTATTTTTCCCACACTAGCAGTTGTGTCACCGCTCAGTTATGGTTATTTAACATGCCCAGGTTTGCAGGGCATGTTCAGATGAGACTTGTTAGGTATTTGTTCTGAAACAATGCCCCAAACAAAGCTTTTAATATTCTGCGCAATAAATTTCGAAAAGTTATGACAAAACAGTCTGCTTAAAGCGGTCTAAATATTTTTGCCACAGAGTCAGTAATTCCACACTTCTTTCTGTTGTTTTTTTGAGAAACGAGGTTTATTGTCAGTTGCAACATACGTTAATACCTACAGGCAAAAATAAATAGTTTATATCAGACAGCGCCTGAGCAACACACTTCACAACCAAAACACACTCAACTCAAATGCGGCCGCCGGAGTTGCTGTTAAGAGGTACATGGTCACCATATACCCAAAAACAGGAGCTCATTTCCTGTGTAGGTGTGACTCTGTCAGGGTTGGCCCTTGCGTAGGGGTGCACCAAAAAAATCGCTTAACGTCAGAATCGTGATTCTCATTTACAAAGATTCAGAATCGATTTAAAATGTCCCAAAATCGATTTTTTATAAATAAAATAGTAAAGCAAATCCAATGGCTGTCAGCCTCCATTTTGTAACTACGTGGGACATCATGACGTCATCACGCAGCTGCTTCTGGAAAATATGAATGTGTAGAAAGCACCAAAACAAAGCGGAAACTACAAAACTGGTGGAAAGAGAAATTCAACTGGCCCTGTTTTCACTGGATGCAAAGATTTGGGCTCATTTTGTTTTTTACTGAATGAGTCTGAGTTTGACATGAGCGAGGTTTGCAAAATGAAGACGAAGCTGTTTGGGAGCACGACAAATGGGCTCACATTATCAAATTTGAATAAAAAATTGATTTTGAATCAAATCATGGCCCCAAAAATCTGGATTGAATCGTGAGCGAGTAAAAGATTCCCACCCCTACCATTGAGATCCTGTTTGTGTTAATGGGCAGGTTCTCAAGGCAAAAATCACAAAGAGGACGGTGTCTGGATTTAAGTGCGTTGGGGTCTCGTCTCTGCTTTATGTATTAGGTGATTCTGTTGGTGTCTTTGGGCCATGATCTTCAGTGTGCACTGAGATGGTTTGCAGAGTGTGAAGCAGCTGGGATGAGAGTCTGCTCTTCCATTGTATAATGCGATCTTGATTATAATATAACCCTCATATTTGAACTTAAAAAGCATAAAACAATTTAATCCTCTTATATAAAGGTACAAAATTTTTTAGATATATACGAGAAATATTGGAAAAAACCCTTATGGATAAGTTTTCGGGGTWAAATTTCTCGAATTATACGTGCAAAAATATGGTAAATATAGTATTTTTTAAGGTGGCTAACAGGTGAATGCATTGCTCTGCTCTCCTCTTCATTTGGGTGGCTGTGGCAGAGTGGTTAGGGGAGTCGTCCTGGAACCAGAAGGTCACCGATTCGATCCCCCGTCCAGCTGTCTCAGTCGTTGTGTCTTTGGGCAAGATACTTCACCCCTAATACCTCTGGTGTGTGTCCCGTCAGTGWATGAATGTGATTGGCTCTGATTAGTCTCCATAGATGATTGTACATGTTAGCTTTGTAGAGACCTAATAGAGTGYTGTGGGAATGGGTAAAYGAGGACACAGATTGTAGTGTGAAGCGCTTTGAGTATCCTGGTTGGGTAGAAAGGCGTTATACAAGTACAGTCCATTTACCATTTGAATTGACAAGTCCTAAAAATGTCTCGGATGTTTCCATCATGCACCATTTTYGGTTTTCCTTGTCTCATGTTAGGTAATGGCTGTGGACACACACTGCTGGGAGCACAATCTGGCACTTTAGTCTCTCGGAACTACCCGGGCACCTACCCCAGCAACTCCTGGTGCAGATGGAGGCTTCGCGTGTCGGAGAGGCGGACGCTGCGGCTGCTGTTTGGAGACTTTGACATTGAGAGCAGTCCGGGCTGCGGCAACGGTTCTGTTGTGATCACGGACAAGGCCGGTAAACCCATCATGGGTAAGTTCCTGTCTCTCTCTAACTCTCCTGTTTATCTGTCAGACCTGCTGATGGACTTTTACGCTCCATGTCATTATCCATGATTGTACACACAAAGGAGATGCCTTTCAGCTGACACACTGACTGAAGAGACAAGCTACATTTGGCTACAGGCTCATCGTKGATGTTTTGCAACCAGCTGTGTCATGCCGTGTCCCAAGGGTATAGATATTTGTCAGCACACCAAAATAAACATTGGGAGATGTAGGCAATAGATATACACTCAAATTTATTGTTGGACTCCATGAAGCCTGATAGTTTTTATTGTTTCYTCRGKTCTTTGATTTAGCCATCCTTACACGTTGAATTCCTTTGTGGTGGTTCTGCTCATCACCTCATCGTGAAGCATTTAAGATGTACATCAGCTTTTAATATTGCTGGATTCTTTTAACTAATTAACTCATGAATGACATGCATTTAGGGATCCCACACAGTCTTTAGAGATTTGTAATGTAATTTATGATGTTAATGTCTTTACAAAACAGATTTGGACTTGGAGATTGAGCTGTAAAATCTTTCAAATTGAGTCTAGGAGTTTGAAACAAGAACTGTTAGGAGACCTTGAGACTCTTTGATGTTGAATAAAGGAGCAAGAGCTCTTTGAAATCAACATTGAAAAAAGTATTTAAAAATGTTGAGTAAGTGCATTAGCTTCTCTGTTTTGTTGGCTTCTCAACACRTAATGTAACTTTAAAGCTCAAGAAGCTAAAGTAGATGCAACCGCCATCAGACCCCAGTGTGAACAGTCCACGGCCCTGAAGTGACCAACATGCACAGAGGAAGACGTGGCGTCACACGCAGCCTGCCGTGTTTACAGAAGTAAATATGGATGATGCACATAAGTGTATCAACTTTGAAGTTGCGCAATCAGAGCTGACTAAAGTCTCATCTGCTGTGCTTGATTCATCCAATGTTTACATCTGATCTTGCCACTTCCTGCCTGCTCTTGACGCAGAAATGTGCTTCTGGATCAAGCAGTCTCAGTTAAATAGTTCTAGTATCAATATTATCCAACACACTGGTGTTGGTGTCATAAGATCTCAGTCATCCAGGAAATAACAAATCTAAAAGGTTTTCAAAACAGTGAAGCAGCTGGATGTCTGCGCTGTAGCCGATGACGTGTAGTTCCAAGCTTTGCATGACATTGGTATGAATATTATCATTACATGGGTTGATCCGTGTACTCCTWCCTCAATGAAGTAAAAGTCAGATGAAATGCTAAATAACAGGTCAGACTGCAGTCRATTTGAAAAACATAAATATATCTGATTTAGTGCCCCGTATGAAAAAGCCCCGAGCCAGGTTTGAAAACKGATTTATTGCGTTCATACCATCATTAGTTTTTTTATACTGGTCACCTATTGGTAAAAATACATTTTTTGTCCCTAGGCTAACATTTTGCTTTCATCAAATTCAGTGTTGTACAAGTCAATCTGAAGCCATACTGTGACAGCCACGTTCACAGTGACAAGATTCACTTTGTACATTTGATGTCAGGTCCTGTGTGCGGGAAGCTCGATGCAACGCAGATGAATGTGACGTTTGACAACAACGAAGTGACGGTAACCTTCTCGTCGGGGCCACACCACTCAGGACGAGGCTTTTTACTCTCATATGCAACAGATGAGTATCCAGGTATGTTTGTGTTCTCCCTTGGTTCAGTCAGGCTGGTTAATTATTTCTCAGTGGTTAAATATTATTATGATTAAAGTGTAATATATCATTTTATACGACCAGTTTGTCTTATAGTTCCTGGGGAAGCAAAGCTTCACYGATGCATGAGTAATAACTACACGTGTGCTTATTTATGAGTTTACACTGGTGTCATTTTAACACAAGCTTTACTTTTAATTATTATCCTTGTGCATGTTCGTGTGTGGTGTTGTGTATCTGTGTATGAGTCACTGCTTTTTGCCGTTGTTCCCCTTTGCTGCCTCGGCTGTACCATGTTTGCTCAGAAAACAAGAGTAAGACTTCTACGCTGCAGATGAATGGAGTCTTAGAGAGACACGATGTCCTCCAGTCTTTCAGCCCTATTATAGCTGCCATCATAACCTTCTGCTGGGTTTTACTGGAAAGCCTAATGTGACATGCATTTCCTACGAACACAAATATTGGAAGAAAACATCTTAATATTTAAGACATTTTATCTAATACACATAATTTTATCAATTTTGTCACATAACTGGCATATTTTTGTTTTAAACACAGCCATATTGAAACAGGAAGTGACAACAAAAATATTTTTTTAAAAAAGAGGAACTCCCAGGTTTTTTTTGTTTTGTTGTTGTCTTTATCTAGTGTCTCAAAAAATATTTACTGCCTGTAAATAAATAAATAGGATCTTTGTTACCAACAGCTTGACACAAAGAAACAATTTGTTTCCGTTTTTTAGCGAAATCTATGGAAAACATACATACATTTGTTCTACTATCTTAATGGGGGCATTGCATTGACTTCCATTCATTTACTGATCATTTCTATAGCCTAACCCTGACTCCTTACCTCCTTACCTAACCTCACAGATACATATCTGACCCTAAATCTAGCCTAAACTCAATTCACACCTTAGTCTTAACCTTAACCCCTGACCCACCAATGGTATTTCCTCCAATGGGGATCGAGCTTTTGTTCCCATAAGGAACTGTGGGTCCTCACCAGGCTGTGTACTGGGAAAATTGTTTAGAAAAATCGTCCCCACCAGGTAGCAAAAACATTTACACTCACACAAAAAAAACCACCAAGTGTGACATATAGAAGTTCTTCAAAAATCTCATCAACTTTAAAAACGATTAACTGTTCCAGAAAGACAAAAACATTAATCATAAGTGATTTAAAAAATAACAATAAAATACCATGATAGTTGACATGGCTCTTTGGTAAACGGCTTTTTAGTAATGTATGTAGTAATGTGCACTTCTACCAGCAGCAGTTGGGGTCACAAGTCTCTGTTTGTATTACTTATTTTTTTAAAGGTTGAAAGTTAAAAAGTTTGTGAACCATTGCTGTAGATGATCAGCTAAAGGATGTCTGCAATCCTCTTTATTTATTTATTTATTTATTTTTAACACAATCTGTACAATATGCTGTCTTGGACAAAAAATGTGTAAAAAGGAGGCAAAGTCCAAAAACAAAACCGTGAAAGACCTTCAGAAAGCCTAATTAAACAGCTGATTGGGACTGCTAAAAACAATCAACAATATGCTATTAAAGTTAAAGGTCGTCTTATATAAAAATATATAATTATTGATGACTGCGATTTAGTCTGAGAGGGTTTGTGTTTAATGACAGATTAGCTCATCTTTTTACTTTGAACTGCAGTTTGTGTCATAGTTTCCTGTTTTTCACTTGGTTGTTTACAGAATCCGGCGGTGTCTGGAGCTAAATCCTTGTGCAGACACACAAACCACTGTCTGTTCACTGTCATCACACCAGAACTATTTGCTGGACTCGTGAATTGTAGCTAAGGGACAGTAACAAAGGATTCAGTCACGTTAACAGAGACGTCTGCCTGTCCCTTAATATAGCACAGTTGGATCATGCCGGACTGTCTTACACTGAATCTATGTGTGTTGTGTTATTTAAGTGGAAGAGACGGTCTCATGCTGTTTAAATTCCCCTTACCTCTGCTTGCTTTTTTCAGATTTAATCACTTGCTTACAAAGGGGGTCTCATTTTAGCACGGCGAGTTTGACGTAAGTAATTAACGTCGAACTCTGAAATGGTCAAATTGGTGGCGCTGCTTGTGTTTCGCTCACGTTATTCTGCTGCTTTCAGTGTTTACTGCCCAGCTGGGTGTAAAAATGCCACAGGAGATGTCTGGGGGAACTCTGAACAAGGTTACAGAGATGTAAGCACAAAGTGTTCCTTTTGGYCAAAATGTTTACTTTTATTACCGCGACTGGATCAGTGTTTGAAAATAGTCTTCTCCGCCTCAGACCTCAGTTCTGTGCAAGTCTGCCGTCCATGCCGGGGCTACGTCTGATGGCGCCGGAGGTCGGGTCACTGTGAATCGAGGGAGAAGTCTTACTCTCTACGAATCTACCTTTGCCAACGGGATCCTCTCTAAAATGTTTGTTGTTTTTATTTATTTATTTTTTCATYGTGTTTGAGATGAAACTGAAGTGCGTCAGCGAAACGTTTGACCTTTCGTTGGTGCTGCTTTGACAGGGGATCATTATCTGAGAAGAAGCTGCTTTTCAGGCGAGGTACGAAACCACCGCAGTGCTTATAACTACACCCTGAAAGATTGTGTTTTTGCATGTTTTAGCCAGTTTATTACTCATAATAGGCCACAGTGTTTGAAACTTTAGAAATATTTTTTTACCTTCAACAACCTCTGCTTCATACAGTAATGATAAAAAAGTCATTCTCTTAATTAATGCAGCTCAGGAGGTGTGTGTGTGTGTGTACATATAAAACACAGAAACATAATGGACTCCCTTCATTTGTTGATTTATAAAATTTTTTCGGCCCCCCCCCTCTTGTCCCTGAACAGAATGTAACAACATCCTGGCTGTCTCCGCTCTGAATGCCTCATCTTTGTGGGATAAAAACAGCCAAGAGCACACAATGTTCTCGTCCTCCAGAAACGCGGGGTCCAGCCGTGACTTCCTGCTCTGGACAGCAGACAGCGGGGATCTGAACCCATGGCTGGAGATGGAACTAGCGGATAGGAGCACCATCACAGGTTTYGTTTTAAGCTTCCTTTAAAACAATCTAGCATTCTTTGACGGAATGCGCGTCGCCCTCTACTTTATGAGTTTCAAACTAAGATCATAAGAAGTGACAGAATTATAGCTGTTTTGGCCAAACCATGTAAATCCTGCAGTTTTATGAGATCTCGTGATTTGTTGACCCACAGCTACAACCACACTATGGCTGTGTCCAAATTACAGCCCACGTAGACCGAGTAGGTCAGGTCCTTTGAAGGGCACAGCCCCTGAATTTGGACACAGCCTATGTTTGAGCTCATTAGCTAAAAACTGGCTAAGTTATAGCCATTTTTGTGAAGGCTAAGGTTGCTTAAATATGGGGACAKCTTGAATCAAGTTGACTCCAGATTTTAATCAGATGTCAATCAGTGGTATAACAATACATCACTCCACATCAATATATTGATTAAATGATCAATGATTCAGTTACATCCAGGCAAAAMGAAAACATCRATYCATATCATGACTATGTGATGTCGAAACATTGTATCGTCATCCAAACAAGTTGATATAATGTCGTATCGTGATAAAGCTGGTGATTTTAACCTTTATTGTCGATGTACATCAGAAATTACTGCGAGTTTCATTAAAATCCACCCCCTGGTTCATGCGATATTTTGCTAACAGACCAGTGACTTCAATAGCTAAAGGCAAAGTTTTAAAAACAGTTTGTGCTCAGGGTACGTGACTGCTCACACCAATGTTAGCTCAGTGTCTGTAAATTTCACTTGGCTCTAGTCTGTTTTGTGTTTGGGAAGGCTGCCTTGTTGTGACGGCCATCTTGAATGAGGTTGAATCTAAAATTTGATTAGTTATAYGTCTAATAATTACAATATGAAAGTTTCATTAAAATCTGGTCAGTGGTTCACAAGATATTTTGCTAATTGCTAACAAACAAAGATATGGGCAAAAATCCTATCACCGTCAGCAGCAGGCGATAAATAAAGGGCTGTATATTATACTTTTATATACAAGCTTCAAATAAATCAGGTTCTGTTATTTCTGAAGTGATTTTATAAAATCTTTCTATCTTTAAATATCTAAAAAAAAAGGCTTATAAAGTTTTGCTGTTTTCCAGGGTTAATAACGACAGGATCAGCTGATCACTACATAGAATCCTACAGTCTTTACTTCAGTAAGGACAGGAAAACCTGGAAGCTTTACAAAGATGCYGTGAGCAAAGAGAAAAAGGTTTGTTTTATTGTAAGGTCAAAATAATAAAAAGAAAGAAGGAAACACCTTGGCACGAGTCCTGCAGCGTTCTCAGAGTGGAAATAACTCATTTTATGGCTTTATGGATCTTTTCTTATCTTCACGGCTCCAAGGTGTTTCGGGCGTACACAGACGGCCACCTCAAGGTGCTCAACAGCCTCTTTTCTCCTGCGGTCGCTCGATTCGTTCGGCTTCAGCCACTCAGCTGGTTCGGTAGAGCCTCGGCCCAGGTGCAGGTTCTGGGTTGTTCCGCTGCCAAGGCCACGCCGAGGTCTCGGCCTTCTGGACGTGAGCATATCTGCTTTACGTAAACGTCACTTGTTTACACAGCTGGGATCGTTTTCAGGAGAATTATGTGTTTTTTTTCCCCCTTGTTTAGCAGAATCTCCGTCCATAAAAGTCAACATGGATACTGAGCAGCCAAGCCCCTCTCCCACCCCCACACTCATAATGGAAACAACTCAAAGTATGTGCTTATTTGATGTTTTGGTACACGTGTTAAATGCGTTAACAACAACGTGGTGCAGTCGTTGGTTTATTCAGACACTTTGACTCCTGCAGGCACCAGTCAGCCAGTGATCGTGGCAGTGGGCGTGGTCCTGGGGCTCATAATGTGTGGGAGTTGTCTAYTGGCTGGCGTCTGGTGGAAACGAAGGTACAGCACATCAGTAGCATATTTAAAGWTGATGCTTTTATCTGTTTTGTCACTTAATTTGCCAAAACAAAATTAAACTAGAAACCCATCAAACCCCTAAAGTTTCATTGCCAACTTTAAGTCCTCAAATCTTTAGTTTTGTATTGTTTTTTTTTTTTTTTGTAAAACTGTACTAAGAATATTTCTTTCTACAGTAGTTCTCCTTCTAATCACATGAAATACATGTGCTGCTATTGAGCACAACTGCTATTGATCACAACTGCTATTGATCAAAAACAATATTGCGCCAGTATTTGTTGATTTGACGAAAGCATTGACCACAGCATTCTACTTGAAAAACTAAATAAATATGGGATTAGAGGACCAGCCTTACAATGGATATGTAGTTATTTGGAAAATAGGAAACAGTTTGTACAAGTACATGATGTAAGATCTGAATACTGTAAAATTACATGTGGAGTTCCCCAAGGTTCTGTACTTGGACCAAAGTTGTTTATCTTAAATGTGAATGACTTGGTTAATGTGTCAGGGCTTTTTAAAAGTGTTTTATTTACAGATGACACCACATTTTTTGTTTGGGGGAAAAACATAGAATGAATGTTGAAGATAATGCAGATAGAATTTGTGAAAATACGAAATTGGTTTAAACTTAACAAATTATCATCAAACTTCGATAAAACTAATTATATGATCTTTACAAATAGACAAAGAACTGTTAATATTCCATTAAGAGTTGATGGTGTAGAGATAAACAGAGTGAAGTTTTTGGGTGTTATTGATGAGAAACTGACATGGAAACCTCATGTAAATTATTTAAGAATAAAACTAGCTAAATCTATTGCATTGCTTTACAAAATAAGGGACTTGTTTATTGATAAAGCTTTGTGTTATATAGCACACTAATTGTTCCACACTTGGTCTATTGTGTTGAGGTATGGGGGTAAAGCATGTAAGACTATTACACATCCTATTTTTGTTTTGCAGAAAAGGGCTATAAGAGTTATTACTCGAAAACATTACCATTATCCATCTAATATATTATTTTGTAAATTAAAATTATTCAAATTCTATGTATTCATGTAAATTTGTGTTCTAGAAGGATTTGACATTTTTTATGTTTTTT